ACTCCCTCCTTCTGGAAACCCTTGACCTCTCACTGCAAATGCCTTCCTAGTCTGGGAGTCTCGTGAAGGCACATACTGTATCTTATGTAGTCATTGGTGGAGCACCCAGTGCCCAGTGTGGTGCCTTCCCTGTAACAAGAATTTGATAATCGTGGACTAAATGGCCCTTTTAGCATCCCTGATACCTCTCTATTCTGGTTCTGCATCTAGTTCTCTGGTCACTTATCTTCATCTTCCTTCACTGAATCCTCTTTCTCTATCCTCTCCTTAGACATTGCTCTTCCGCAGGGTCCTTGATCGTGTCCTCCCTTCATGCTGCACACTCTCTCTGGATCACCCCATCTACCACCACCTATAAGGATGACCTTTAAATGCATCTTTCCAGGCCTGATTTCCATCTAGCTGCAGGCCCATATGCCCTCCTGCCTACTGGATAACCCTACCTTATAAGCACATCAAGGCCAATATGTTCATACTGAAATCATCATCTTTTCCCCCAAACCTGCTCCTCCTCCTGTATTCCTTACCCTGGCACGACCATCTACCCAGTCATCCAATCCAAATACCTGCTAGACATTCACCCTAAACTCTCACACCCTAAAACCCATAGCCAATCTAAGTCTGATGATTCTGTCCAATCCATCTCCACCACCCCTGTTCATTTCCACTATTATCATCTTAGTTCAGGCCTTCATCATCTCTCATCTGGACTAAGGCATAGGCTCTGGATTAGTCTCTCTACCTCCCTGCAGCACCTGCACATCCATCCACCACACTGCCACCAGCATAATCTCTCTGAAATGGAAATCAGTCGAATGTATCCTCTTTACCTTCAGAATAAATTTGAATTCTTTTTTTTTTTTTTCCTATCTTCCTGTCCCTTCCTGCTTTCTCATCCTGCCTCCGGACTGGAGCCGCCTATTTGGTCTCCTGTGTCTGACTGAACTAAGAAGTACACTCCTCACGTGTATTATTTTTTGTTTTATAGTCCTATCTAACCATTGTCTGAAGAGTGGGCTTCAGGAATGGTTTCAGTTCTGGGTTAACAGAGCATTCGTGGGACCATAGTTTCGGAGGTTCCTCCAGTCTCTGTCAGACCATTAAGTCTGGTGTTGTTACGTGAATTTGAGTTCTGCTCCGCACTTGTCTCCCACTGCATCTGGGACTCTGTTTTGTTCCCTGTCAGGGGGTCATTGGTGGTAGCCAGGCACCATCTAGTTCTTCTGGTCTCAGGCTGGTGGAGTCTCTGGTTTATGTGGTCCTTTATTCTCTTGGGCTAATATTTTCCTTGTGTCTCTGGTTTTCTTCATTCTCCTTTTCTCCAAGTGGGATGGGACCAATTGATGCATCTTAAAAGGGTGCTCGAAAGCTTTTAAGACCCTAGACGCCACTCACCAAAGTGGGATGCAGAGTACACAATACTGGGGAAGCCAGCACAACTTGAACAAGGAAAGGTCATGGGACCTCCATAGACACATCCAAACTCCCTGAGGGACCGAATTGCTGGGTGGAGGGCCGTGGAGACCATGGTCTCAGGGAACTTCTTAGCTCAATTGGCATAACACAGTTTATAAAGAAAATGTTCTACATTCTACCTTGGTGGGTAGCATCTGGGGTCTTAAAAGCCTGTGAGCAGCCATCTGAGATACTCACTGGTTTCATCCCTTCAGGAGCAAGGGGGAATGAAGAGAACAAGATACAAGGGAAAGATTAGTCCAAAGGACTAATGGACCACAACTACCATGGCCTCCACCAGACTGAGTCCAGTACAAAAAATGGCACCCAGCTACCACCACTGACTGCCCTGACTGGGATCACAACAGAGGGTCCCAGACAGAGCTGGAAAAAATGTGGAACAAAATTCTAACTCACAAAAAAAGACCAGACTTACTGGCCTGACAGAGACTGGAGAAACCCTGAGAGTATGGCCCCTGGACACCCTGTTAGCTAAGTAATGAAGTCACTCCTGAGGTTCACCATTCAGCCAAAGATTAGACAGCTCCATAAACAAAACGAAACTAATGGGGCACAACTGTCCAGGGACAAGGACTAGAAGGCAGGAGGGGACAGGAAAGCTGGCAATAGGGAACTCGGGGTTGAGGAGGGACAGTGTTGACCTGTTGTGGGGTTGTTAACCATTGTCATAAAACAATATGTGTACTAACTGTTTAATGAGAATCTATTTGTTTTGTAAACTTTCATCTAAAGTATAATTTAAAAAAAAACAAAGTGGGATGCAGAACATTTTCTTAATAAACTTTGTTATGCCAATTGACCTAGATGTCCCCCGAAACTATGGTCACCAGGCCTCAGCCCCAGCCCCAGCTACTCGGTCCCTCAACTAAATCTGAATTCTTTAACATGACAAAGAAAGTATGATGATGGTGCTTCCAGCTTCTGGTAGGTTCAGTTTGCCTTCCCAGAGCATGTCCAGGGCACTGGAATTTGTCCAGTGGCCTGTGGTTATAGACAGGTTATGTCTCCATTCTACTGGGGAGAAAGGGACAGGTAATAAGTATTGCTTCACTCAGCATGATTTGTGAGAGGGGACCCACCCTGGCTGTGCCTCCCGTGGAGATTTTGGGAAAACACGTGACCGTGTGTCAGGGCCGGGACTAGGAGGAGGCAAGAGAGGCACCTAGGGTGCAAAATTTAAGAAGGCACTTGGATGGCCCTGCGAGTGTTGCCTCATCATAGTCCTGGCGCTGTTGTGTGTACGTCTTTACGTTGCTTCCCGCTTTATTAGTGTGAATCATGAACTGTGAAAAGAAGCCTGGATACAAATTACCAGCAACTTACGGGCTTCAAGTCTAGATGAAATTAAGCAAGCCCTCTTATAAATCAGAATAGACTCGATGTCAGCGGGTTTGGTTTTTTGGTTCTGAAAAGTTTAGGCTACATAAAAATAAAATTTAAACCAGTCAGTGGAGTCCCTGGGTGGTGCAAACAGTTAACACACTTGGCTGCTAACCAGAAGGTTGGAGATTTGAGTTCACCCAGCGGCATCTAGGAAGAAAGTCCTGGCTATCTACTGCTGAAAAATCAGCCATTGAAAACCCTATAGAGCAGTTCTACTCTGACTCACAAATGGGATAGCCATAAGTCTGAATCAACTCAACGGCAACTGGTTTTACTAGTAACCTGGTTAGTGGGGTATAAGTTGGGTCTACCATTCTGGAAAGTAAATTTGTTCAAATATATCTAGAGCTTTAAATGTTCTCATCCCATTTGACCCAGTAATTTCACGTCTAGGCATCTATCCTATGTAAATAATCATGCATGTAGACAACTATTCTTATGTACAAGGATAGCCGTGCAGACTATTTATAGTAACAAAAGGAAGCAACTAAATGTCCATAAATAGAGGGAAACGCTTAAGTGCTGGTATATTATTCACTACTATGTAGTCATTCAAATGATAACTCCATAGACTTTTAAAATAAGTAAACATGTAGACAATATTATGTTAAGTAAAATAAGAAGTTTACAAAATTCTGTGCATAGAATAATCCCAAATTATTTAATCTTCAATATATGCTTAGAAAATAACACTAGAATACACAAGATTATTTCTGGGTTTGGAGACTATGAGTGATTTTTGTGGTTTTTAATAATTTTTCCATGGTTTTTTTTTTAAATTTAAAGGATAGTCATATATGTTCTTCTTAATAATAATAAAAGAGGAAGTCCTTTTAAGAAATATTTTTTAAAGAAAGACTATTTTGCTGTCTGGAACTCTTAATCATTGGTATTACTAATAAGTTGTCATGGTAACTCTGGTTTGGGGGAGAAGCTGAGAAGTTTTTGATGGCAACCAATAGGGTTTGTTGCTATTGTTGCTTTTAATCCTCTTGAGCACATTTGGCTCAAATAATCTCTATGGATGCACTACTCCACAAATTTGACTGCTTTCTGCCCAAGCAACTTCTGACCTTGACTGTAATTATGCATACAGCTTGTGCACAGAGGGTGCTCTCCCTGCGCTGGGGCTCACGTAACCACTGCATGTTTCAGCTCCTGGTCTGGTGATGCTGCTGTAAAGGCTTGAAACAAATTCTGTGAGCTGTCTGTCGCTGGCTGTGCAGGAGCTCCCTCCAACCCCAGGACAGGAGGGCACTCAGGAGCCAGACACCCAGACTCCTGAAAGCTGGACTTCCTTTCATACAAATGATATTTCCGACCTCTAGTCATATCCACATCCAGAAATTTTAAAAGCCAAGGCTCAATTTGGAGCTAAGGCTGGTGTCACTAAGTTGTAGAAAATGAGTAAAGAACCAAGAATCAAGAATGCCCTTACTGCCTCCATTTCCTCATCAGGAAAGAGAGAGCTGGACTGGGTTGTCTCTAAATGTCATTTTTTACTGACTAATATCAGGCAAGCAGGTGTGCGGAGGCGCACACACATTGACAGCGCTGCCGCCGTCAGAGCCCTACGCCAGGCGAGTGCCCAGGGGTCACCGGGAAGTCTGGCTCCCTGGGACCCACAGGGCGGCACGTACTGGGTTGGCAACAGACAGCTCATCTGCAGGCAGCTCCATCCCTGCACCCTGCAATTTACAGGTTGAGGACAATTTAATGAAGATTTAAAAAGGGACCCACAAACCCAGGCAGAAATCATTAGAAATAATCATTCCCACTAATAAGAGGTCCCGTTGGTTCTTTCAGAATTAGCAGATTTGTTCTAACTCTAGGTTGCAGAAACTAACAAATTGCCCCCCCCCCTTTTTTTAATGTTTATGCATTCTTTTTTCATTCGTTTATCCAGAAGAGATTTAAGAGTATGTGTAACAGCACTATATCTAAGCTAGCATCATTTAAAAAGGAAGTATAATTCTAACTTTCTAAAAGAGAGGAAGCGGGAGAACAAAGGGAAAAGCAGGAAGAAGGCTTTCACATAATACACCATATGCTCGAAGCGATGCTCGATTTCCAGAACGAAGTCACAAGCTTGCTTCGCACACCCCTTGCCCTAACTCCTCCACCCCTAAATGTCCACTCACCTGCCTTTCTTAGTCATCTCATGTCCTTCTCCTCCTTGCCAGTACACTCGGCTTTCAGTGGCCAAAACCCATCCCCACCACAAAAAGAAGATGCCAAATTTTATATTCTGGACAGCCAACATGGGTTTCCAAGTCCAAACAGGTCTCTCAAGAAACAGCAAAAAGAAAGAGGATGTTCTTTTTCTCTCTTAAGACATTATTGGTCTATTCGTTACTAGAAGGATGTTTACTCATGAAAAAAAAAATCAACCCACAGTATGTAATCTGCAGAGCAGGAGAAAGCAATTTCCACTAAACCTATAAATCCTCCTACGTCAGTTGTCAGGGATTTTCTGAACTGAGGCTGAATTCCCGTGTCCCTGTGGAACAATTATTTTGGCTAGTCTAAACGAGTTCATCGTCAAATGTTATGGATATGTTGGTGAAGGGCATGTATTTTCTGGTCCAATGAATAGAAGGAAATAAAACTGGACCAAAGCAATTTCCAAAATGAGAAATGCCAGAGGTGCTGAACCACTTCTTTTGTCATGTTAATGAGTGCCTCCCTGGATCTATTTTAAGCTTCCAGCCATTATTTCCTTTAGCTGAGAGCTGGGTTTGGACAAGTCGCTGCCCCCACGGCTCCTTCCTGTGGCTGAAGCAGTAAAGCCTCAGAGTTCAGTACCTGTACCCTTGTCTGCATGGCTGAGGTTAGGAGGGCAAGTGGGGAAGAGGCTTTTTATCTTTGTTTTGCACAGAAATAACCAAGTTTCCTTATCAGTTGCACTATTCTTATTATGAACGCTCATCAGACTTTTCACGTTTGATAATTGTTGTTGTGTGCCATCAAGTCGATTCCGACTCATAGCGACCTCTTGTGACAGAGTAGAGCTGCCCCATAGGATTTTCTTGGCTATAACCCTTTACTAGTGATTTAGGAAATAGTATTGGAGTCATTATTTGCTGTCCTTGAGCATAGAGAATGTAAGCCAGCTGGAGCTGGACTCACAGGGACACATCAACTGGGCCCTGAGATACAAAGACAATAGCCAGGACAATCTTGAAAAATACCTTTTACCCTAAAGGGACTCTTTCACAGAAACCAATCAAACAGAACACAAAAGACTTTCCACTCTTATCTTTTTCTATTAGCATTTAGTGAATAGAAAATTTGTTGGACCAGTGAAGACCCTCCTGACTATCATTACCTAAACCTGTACCGATGATTATTAAGAGAGAAGATTCAAAACATAGACTCACATTGATCTAGCAGTTTTTAACCAATTGGTGAAAAGGTGAAGCTTTTAATGATTTTACCCATTTTGTGATGCTAATATATACTGATGATTCTGTAACGTTCCTCAGAGTAGGGCAGATATTAACTCTGGCAGCATGCTTGTCTGTTTTCCCACTCTTGTCTATTCTGTAATAAATATTTCCTTGGACTTGGGCAGACATAGCTGTGACAGCATGCTTGTCCATTTTCCCACTTTTGTCTACTCTGTAATCCTCAGATTCTGGCAGACATTAACTGGCAGCATGCTTGTCCGTTTTCCCACTCTTGCCTATTCTGTAATATTTCCTTGGACTCAGGCAGACACGGCTCTAGCAGCATGCTTGTCCAGCTTCCCACTTTTGCCTTTTTGAATATATGCTGAATAAAACACTCTTTTTGCTTTACTAAACTTTGTGATGTTTTTTCCCTACAACAGTGTTTAATAAAATAATTATAGCTGTTAAGTCCTTGTTGTTGTCGTTGTTGTTAGGTGCCATTGAGTCGGTTCCGACTTGTAGTGACCCTGTGTACAGCCGAACAAAACACTCCCTGGTCCTGCCATCTTCACAATCGTTGTTATGCTTGAGACCATTGTTACAGCCACTGTGTCAATCCATCTCGTTGAAGGTCTTCCTCTTTCTCCTCTTTTTTTGATGCCTACTTGAAGACTCTGCTATAATTGACAGGTTAGATAGAGTTTGTGTCTTCAACAAAGAAGAACAGCCTTGTGAAAAAGGACAGTATTAGGTATTACCAGTTGCCATGGAGTCAATTCTGATTCATGGTGACCCCATGCGTGCCAGCAGAACTGTGCTCCATAAGATTTTCAATGGCTGATTTTTCTGAAATAGATTGCCAGGCCTTTCTTCTGAGATGCCTCTGAGCGGACTTGAGCCTCCAACGTTTTGGTTAGCAGCCAAGCACATCAACTGTTTGTACCAGCCAGGGACTCTGTCCATAGGTACTTTAAACTATTAACTCCTCAAAGCTGAGCTGACATTATTTCCCTAACTTTCACAGTGTACCAGTGTACTGAGTCAAGATTTCCATGACTCTTTTTCGTTGAGAAGCCAACAGTTTCATGAAATTGCTAACCTAAGATCCAACAGAACAAGAATTAATTACATAGAACTGAACGAACTGATGGAAATTTTACTGAGGTTGTTTATTGGAATACTGTTAATTGGTTTGAATGTTGTATTTTCTGGATATATAAGGACATTCTTTCTCTTTCTTCTTATGCTATCTGTAATTCACAATAATTTTATAAATTCTGCTTTTGTAAACTAAAATGAGACAGTTAAAAATGATATAACATTTTCACTGACACAATTTCCCTTCTCCTAATTTATAAACTCTTACTCAATTTCTTTACTTTTCATGGCAATATAGTTGTTTGCATATGTTCATTAAGAATGTGTCCTCCTCCAATACAGCGGAAACCAGCACAACTTGTACAAGGAAAGGTCATGGAAGCTCCATAGACACATCCAAACTCCCTGAGGGACTGAATTGCTGGGCGGAGGGCTGTGGG